AAAGATGAATGAGACGTTGTCCAATCTGCAAGAAGCTCAAGTTTGTAGGAAGATGAACAATCAGCAATGAAATGGTACCTGGGGCACCACTGGTAACACTCATAAATAGAAACAGTGCTTTATTTCCTTCTCTGTTGCTCCCCTCAACCCTTTTCTTCCTCTTCCCATTCTTCTCTCCGGTTTTCTTTTTTGTCCTCTCTTTTTGCCCAGACTTTAAAAATTTCACAGCCTTCTAGCCAGCCTGTCATGCAGCAAACATCGTAAATGTTTGACTCCTGATTCAGAATCATCTTAAGATTTTACTCCAGGAATGCTAAAATTGGGTGAGCTCCTTTAACAAAGTGCTGGGCAAGCTGATGGATGCCACTGTCTCCAGCTTCTTTAAAAGAGTTGACACTCTAGGTTGTGAAAGGATCACAAATTCCTTTCCCAGGAACACCTCACTTTGCAATAGGACTTGACCATAGCTATCCCATGCAATGGCAGAATCTCTACTCCTCTTCCTTAAATCTGAGTTCAATCTGTGGCCGACAAAATATATGACAAAAGTGCCATGGTTAAGTTTCTGAGCTAAGCCTCAAGTGGCCATCCTGAGACTGTGGCCCTGGAAAAAAAAAGTCCACTGGGGGAGACTAGCAACCCCACAGAACTGCCCAGTCAGTCCTCAGAATAACGGCAAATTAAAAAAACAAAAACATGTTATGGTAAGCCATTAAATTTGGGGGTTATTTGTTGTGAGACAGTTTATCTTACCAGTACATTGTCCTTGGAGGGTCAGCCACAGTTGCTCATGGAACAAGTACTCTAGTAGCTTAAGGAATTATGCTTTTCCATTTGTGGTAAGAAAACTGAGAGGTAGAAAATAAACGAATTAACCAGAAGCTTTCACGCCTCCTCACTTATCTAGTATCATCTTGTTTTTGTTTTAACTTTACAAAATTTGTTTGAAATGTAAATATAGTGTCACAAGAAGGTGTTAAGATCATATATAGAGTCTGCTGAACTAAACTGGGATTCTTAAACTATTTTATGTTTCAGCTAAGTTCGGTGCAGTTGCGTATAATTCCAGTTACTTAGGAGGCTGAGGCAGGAGGATCACAAGTTCAAGGCTACCTTCAGTAATTTATTGAGGCCCTATATCAAAATAAAAAATTAAAAAGGCTAGGAATGTGGCTCAGTAGTAGAGCATCCCTGAGTTTAATTCCCAATACTGCAAAAATACAAATAATAATAAATTCCATTCATTTTAATTCCTTTTCATTCTGTATTGAACTCAGGGCCTTGTGCATGCTAAGCACATGCTCTGCCACCAGAACACTCCCAGTCCCCTAAATTTTATATATATTTCAATTAAAGTCTCCCTGAAACATTGTCAATGTGTCTCGTGGATAAGTTAATCCTTATTAGGAACCCACCATGTGCTAGACACTTTGCAAAAGGCATGTTTTTGCTTTTTGTGGTACTAGGGATTAAACCCAGGGGCACTCGACAAGGAGATACACTCTAGTCCTTTAAATTTTATTTTGAGACAGGGTCTTGCTAAGTTGCCAAGGCTGACCTCAAACTTGTGATGCTTGGGCCTCTACTGACCTCCTGAGTAGATGTGATTTTAAGTATGTGCCACTAAGCTGGCCAATGCCTTATTTTTAGCACATTATTAACTGTTATTTTATAAGATAACTGAGTTTCAGAAAAGTCAAACATTTTGTAAAAGCCACAGGTTGAATAAATGGAAGAACTAGAATTTCAAACACATTTTATATGTATCAGAGTTACCATTCAAAATATCTTGACTTCCATTTACTAGTGAGTTTTATTTTGTTTTTATTTAATTCTTTAAAACTTCACTTTGGGAAGTATTTATAAACTTTGAACAAACCAACTTTCAGTACAGCAATATCAGCACAGCAAAAAATGTGTACATTTTCAGCATTGATGAAGTCTTTAGATTACATCCTCCTCAAAACAAATTGTATGTGATTTACTTGACAGTAAAGCTACCCAAATATTTCTGTAACATCCTGGAAGGTATAATAATTGGAACTTTTTGAGAAGGGAAGGCCATTATGTGTAGATATAGAATTGCTGTAGTACAATCATCACATTTATTTTACCATCTTAAGCTCTAGGAAAATGGATAATATTTTACTGACAAGAACAAAATGCCATCATAAAGGACATTGTGACTGAGGAAGATTGTATCTGGTTACCCACCCCCAAAATAACCTATAATACAAATTTTCATAGTAGGATATGTATTTCAAAATTATATAGCACAATAAATTAACCTAAAGTCTGTTATTAAGGAAGTAATAAGTAAATTATTAAATGGAAAAATACTGCAACAAATATATGTGTGTGTATGTGTGTGTGTGTATATATATATATATATATATATATATATATATATATATATATATATATATATATATATATATATATATATGACTATCCTAACATGTTCATTCCCAAAGAGATGAAACTATAAGATGATAGTCACAGTACATTGAGATTCTTTAGCATCTTGGGTTCCAAATGTGTCATCTTCTTGGTGGGTCTGCAAATTTCTGAGAGCTTCCAGTCTCTAAGGCTATAAGAAAACTAACAGAGGAGGTGAATGAAGGATCCAAATCAAGAGGAATTTGCTTGGGGCTGGAATTGTGGCTCAGTGGTAGAGCGCTTGCCTAGCATGCGTGAGGCACTGGGTTTGATCTCCTGGGCCACATAAAAATAAAAACAAATAAAAGAAAAGTGTTGTGTCCATCTACAACTAAAAATAAGGATTTGTTTTTTTTAAGTGAGGTACTTGCTTGCCTCAGAAGAACTTGTACACATGTTGAATGTTTACAAATTATTCTTTGAAGGAGATGAGTTATGGAGAAAAAAGAAGAATCAATGTTTTAATAGAAAAACTGCAATAAAATACCAACACATATTCCAATTTTCTTTCTTTCTTTCTTTCTTTTTCTTTTTCTTTTTTTTTTTTTTAGGCGCTTAACCACTGAGTCACATCCTTAGCCCTTATTATTTTTTATTTTGAGACAGGGTCTCATTAAGTTGCTTATGGCCTCACTAAATTGCTTAAGCTGACTTTGAACTTGCAATCTTCCTGCTTCAGCCTCCCTAGCCACTGGAATTACAGACATGCCTGGCCATATTCCAGTTTTCTAATAAACAAAGAAATGCTCATTAAACCATGTTGAGAAATAGGGGAACAACATGGGGGAGAAACAGTGGGGGAACACAGTTAATAACTGTGTCTCCAAATGTGGATTCACTGAACAAAAATTCAGACTGGCTTTAACAGGTAGGTGTCCCTAAGACACTTGTATGAAAGCATAGTATTGTTACAACACTTGTCATAACGTAAGGCTCACTTTGTCCATGAGCTTTTGTGTCACCTCTCCCAGCATACTGGGATTCATTTAAAATCACTGACCACAGCAGCCTTTGTCATGATTGCTTTGCTGGGCAGCTGGACTCAGTGGTAGGCCCCTGTAATCAGCAACTCAGGTGGCTGGGGCAGAATGATGGAAGGTTTGAGCTCAGCCTGGGCAATTTAGTGAGACCCTGTCTTGAAAGAAATAAATACACAAATAGGGTTGGGGGTGTAGTTCAGTGGTAAATCACTACTGGATTCAACCCCAGCACAATAAAAACAAAAACAAAAACAAAATAAAACAAGCAAACAAACATGTCTTACTGGATGTAGTGACTGCAGGCCTGTCCTCTTAGCTATCTGGGAAATTGAGGCAGAAAGATCACAAGTTCAAGGCCAACCTGGACAACTTAGCAAGCAAGCCCCTGTTAGAAAATAGAACTTTCATTTTTTAATTTTTTTGGTAGCTGGAATTGAATCCTTGGGCACTGAGCCACATCCCCAGCGCTCAATATCTCTCTCTCTCTCTCTCTCTCTCCTTAAATTTTTTTTTTTTTTTTTTTTAAAGAGAGAGAGAGAGATAGAGAGAGAGAGACAGAGAGAGAGAATTTTTTTTTTTTAATATTCATTTTTTAGTTCTCGGCGGACACAACATCTTTGTTTGTATGTGGTGCTGAGGATCGAACCCGGGCCGCACGCATGCCAGGCGAGCGCGCTACCGCTTGAGCCACATCCCCAGCCCATCTCTTCTTAAATTTTGAGACAGGGTCTTGCTAAGTAGTTTAGGGCCTTGCTAAAATTTTGAGGCTGGCCTGGAACTTGTAATCCTCCTGCCTCACACCTCCAAGCAGGTGGGATTATGGGATTACAGGCGTGGATCACAATGCCCAGCAAAATAAAACTTTTTTTTTTTTTTTTTAAAGGGCTGGGATGTAGATCAGTTTCATTGTGGGTTCCATCCCTAGTACCCTAAGGGGTGTGTGTGTGTGTGTGGGGGGGACACTTTCCAGCCAGAAGAATTTACCAAAAATAACAGAAATTATAAAAGCATTTGTATGGTACTCCACATTAAAGCAAAATAAGCACTTTCCTTTGTTCATTACAACTTCCATGAGGGAGATGTTTTGTTTTGTTTTGCTATTATTCTCGCTGCATATATAAGTAAACTGAGACACAGAATTGACCTTTCCAATACCTCACAGGTAGTAAAAGCAGTGCTGTTAGTTTAAATCTTGGGCGTCCTCACCCCACCACACTGACGCAACAAGAACAATACAATACCATAAAATTTGACAGTGATGGCAGTGAACAATCCCATTTTATCCTCACTATACTTTCTTTGATCAAAGTGAGGTTGGAGTCACCTTCCTTTCTACACAGGAGGTAACTGGGGCTAAAAAGGTACCGCACAAATCCATATGGCTGTAAAAGGCAGCTTGTGGAGGTGGAGCCCGGAGTCCAGATTTTCCGACTCCACAGTCGCAAGCTCAGAAAACGCTTTGGTAGCGGGGCCTGCAAATCAAGGATGGACGCGTCGACTGTCACAGAGCGTTCACAGGTACTCTCAAGCTGCTTCTGCCAGGCGGGGCACCTGGGACTTAGGCAAGTCACCAGATCGGAGCCCAAGGCTGCGGGTGGGGCCAGGCTCACAAATAATCTAAGTAGGATCTAGAATTGCTAGGATTTACGAAATACCGGCTTTCGAGTGAGTTCTTTAGTCTCCACCCGAAGATGATTATCACAGTTGAGTGTGGGCAAATGTAGAGGACCCTAGCAAGGGCAGGACCCGCAGCCCCTGTTCCGGCAGCTGGAGTGGGGCCAGAGCGGAGGTGGTGTCAGAGCGGAAATCGAACCCGGAGCAGGGGTTCAGCTTGGGGCTGTGGGGAATTTGCGAGGTGGGTCCGCTCCTGGCCGGCGGGAGAGGAGTCCGGAGGTGGCTGGAGCCAGGGCTGGGAAGAGAGAAGGCGCACCACTGAGCTGCCAGACGCACGGATCGCGGGCGGGGACCCGGGCGAGCCTGGGATCGCGGCTCTCGGAAGCGACAGAAGTGCCGAAGTCGCGGTCTGCGTCCTTGCGCGGGAGTCTCGGGGCGATGAGAGTGCGCGTCAAGGTAAACGCTGGTCCCGCCACTGTGTGCTCCCGCGGCTCACTCGGCGCGGCCCGGACCCGCAGCCACAACTCCCGCGCCCTGGCCCAGCTTCAAGGCTGGCACCCCGCGCGACAGGGAGTTTTGGGGGCTTGGAAAGGAGGGCGCCCCCGGCTACTGGGAGAGCTCTGGCTATGCTTGGGAAAGGAGTGAGCTTGTGGAATTTAGGGGCGAGGCTGGTCTCCTTTAGGCAGCCAAACCTTAAACTGGCTACCACTTACCTATTTTTCTGGACTTCCACACATTGTGTATGAAATGCGAAGTACCATTATTAAGCACGTTGTGTTCAGACGTAGTACAGGATGCTTGCCAAATGTTAGCTCATTTCAGCCAGGTCTGGTTGATAAGAGCATTTTCTCTGGAGCTAGATAGCCTGAATTAGCATCTCAGGTGTACCACTACCAGTGACCTTGGGTAAGTTAGTTCACCTCTGTGGGCAGGTTCCTCATCTGGAAAATGGGAGAATACTACTTGTAATTTAAAGATTTAGTGGGACCTTATATGCCATATGCTCTTAGAATAATACCTAATATATTCTGCAGGTTGTAAGAGATTGTGATTTGTAACTATTTCATGCTGAAATAATCCCATAAAGTCTAAGCATAATCACTCCCCCATTTCTACTAATTTTCTAGTCAAAATATGAGGCTGGGACTGAGACTGTAGCTCAGTGGCAGAGTACTTGCCTAGTATGTGTGGGGCACTGGGTTTGATCCTTAGCACGGCAGAAAAGTAAACAAATAAAGGCATGCTGTCCATACACAACTACCGAAAAAAATCTTTAAAAAATGAGGCTGTGTGAGAAAAGTAGAATTGAGATATGAACCTGGGTCAGTGGCCTAAAACACTGAGAACATGGATATTCTAGCTGCACACATGATTGTGGTTTGTTCTAGGAAAGAGTTGTGAATTACCCTTAACTGCCAAAGTAAGAAATGGGTTCTTCAACTACTTTCCATCTGTATACAGATTTTGATATGTCATTTTGACATCCCTTTGGATTTTGCCATGACTGATAAAGTATTAGAATATTTTGGCTAGACTGGAATCGGGGGCTTGACTGTAAGAATCTGGCTGCTTAGTTAGCTTGTTTCCTAGAGTACAAACATCATATAAGCAGTCTCTCTCTCCTGGTTTAAAATGAAAATCATTAGCTTTTGCTCCACTAGACCCATACCCCTAAGATATAGAAGTAGAGCTTCTGAATGGACAAAATAAAATGTGATATATTAGAAATATATACATAAATAAAATATTATTCAGTCTTAAAAAGGAAGGAAATAGTTGGATACTGTGATGCATGTCTGTCATCCCAGAAACTCAGGTGGCTGAGGAAGGAGGGGTGCAAGTTTGAGGCCAGCTTCAGCAATTTAGTGAGACACTCAAAGTAAAAATAAAATAAGGGCTGGGGATGTAGCTCAGCAGTAGAGCATCTCTGGATTCTATCCTGAATATAGATCAATTAAAAAAAAAGGGCAAAGGAAACTCTGACATATAATATGGATGAACCTTGAAGTTCAATAAGCCAGTTGCAAAAAGACAAATATTTCATGATTCCCCTTGTAAGCCATCTAAAGAAGTAAAGTTTATAGAAACAAAGTAGAATGGCAATTGCCATGGTTTAAAAGAGGGGAATAGGGAAATTGTTAATGGGTACAGAATATTAGTTTTTTTAAACTTATAATTACTAATGCATATTAACTGTACAAATAAATGGGTTTCACTGGGACTTTTTCACGCATGCTATGCAAGTGCTCCATCACTGAGCCACATCCATAGTCCTGCATATATTTAGTGTGCTATGCTCTTGTCCACTCTCCCTTCTGCCATCTTTCGTTTTTGCAGTGCTGAGGATCCAATCTAGGGCCTTGCACATATATTCTACCACTGAGCTATGTATGCCTCCAGATCCTGGACTTTCAGTTTTGCAAGATGAAAGATTTCTGGAGATTGGTTCTACAATAATGTACAATTGGTTGTACAATAATGTACTTAACACTATGGAACTGTACACTTAAAAATGGTTAGGATATGGGGCCTGGTGGTGCATGTCTGTAATCCCAGTGGCTTGGGAGGTTTGCAGGTTCAAAGACAGCCTCAGCAATTTAGCAAAGCTGTAAGAAACCTAATGAGACCGCATCTCAAAAAATAAAAAGGGATGGGATATAGCTTAGTGGCTAAGTACCCTCGGGGGTTCAATGCCTGATACAAAAAAAAAAAAAAAAAGTTAAATGTGCCTTTTTACTTATGTGTTATTTATTTATTTTAGTTCTGGGAATTGAACTCAGATGCTAACCACTGAGCCACATCCCCAGACCTTTTTATTTATTTTTATTTTGAGACAGGTCTGATGCTGAAGGTCTTGACAAGGTTGCTTGCAATGCCCCTATCTCAACCTCTCAAATTGCTAGGATTACAGGTGTGTGACACCATGCCTGGCAAATGTTATATATATTTCTACCATAACTTAAAACAAAACAAAGGAAGATTCTCACACAAATTTCTTCATAATGGGATTTGTTTTCTACTTCTTTCAAAATAATGTTCTTTTTTTGTGTGCGTGGAACTGGGGATTGAGTCCCAGGACTCTTGCATGCCAGGCAAGCACTCTACTGCTGAGCTGCATTTCCAGACTTTGAGTTTGGTAATTGAATCGACTTTCAGCTGAGTCTTAACTTTTGACTGGAACCCACAGGTTTTCCAGGGTATCAGGAGGGCAGGGCAATGGAGTACCCTTGAAAACTTTTTTCTGTTTGACTTGGCACCAGAGTATTTTTTAGTCCCCTTGTTTGGGGTAGCCCAGCGTCACTTCCCCTTGCTGTTAATGAGAGTTGGCATTTCCTTATCTCTGAAGAAGGGGTTCTTTGGTTATTTATATTACAGGAAAACTCTGAGAATATTTGAGTGTCACAACCAGTTTCAAGCAGTGGGAGGTAGTAGAATTGCATATCATATGATTTACCCATTAGTGTATTAACAGTTGAACAGCCATCATCACAATTTAAAAATATTTATCATCCCCCAAAGAAATACTACATCCCATAGCCATCACACTCTAGTCCTTCCATCCATACCACCCTGGAAACCACTAATCTTTTTGTCTCTGTAGATTTGCCTATACTGGGCATTTTACATAAATGGATGCATACTGCTTGTGGTTGTTTGTGACTGGCTTATTTCCCTTGCCATTAATGTGTCAAGTTTCATATTGTAGCATATCGGGTACTTCTTCTTTGTATTGCTAACGCTATTCCATGGATGCATGGATGTATCATAATTTATTTGCCTGTTAGTCATTTGATGGATATTTCAGCTGTTTTACTTTTTTTGGGCTATTATGAATAATGCTGCTATGAACTTTTGTGAACAAGTGTTTGTGTGAATTTAGGTTTTCATTTCTCTTTGGTAGATCCTTAAGAGTGGAAATGCTGGACGGTATGGAAAATCTGTTTGGATTTTTTTGTTTGTTTGTTTGTTGGGTACTGGGGATTAGCCCAGGAGTGCTTTACCACTGAAGTACATCCTCAGCCCTTTTAATTTTTTCTTTTGAGACAGGGTCTTGCTAAGTTGCTTAGGGCCTCGCTAAGTTGCTGGGGCTGACTTTGAAGTTGTGAACTTCCTGCCTCAGGTTCCCAAATTGCTGGGATTATAGGTGTGTACCACCATGCGTGGCTTTTGTTTAGATTTTTTGAGGTACTTCCCCAAAGCATTTATTGTACCATTTTTACATTTCCACCAGCAATCTATGATAGTTTCAATTTCTCCCCATCTTTTGTATTGTCGAATTTCCTTTTATTACAGTCAGGCTAGTGGATATAAAGAGGAAACTTGTGGTTTTGATTTGTATTTTCCTAAGGTCTAATGGATTTGAGCATCTTTTCATGTGCTTATTGGCCATTTGTAATCTTCTTTGGAAAACTATTTAGGTCTTTTGGGTAGAATTTATTTTTGATCCAGCTCTTAAGATATTTTTCCTGAAAAATGACATCCACACAAAAGTCAGTATATAATATCTTAGGGTTCATGACTCCCCTGATAATACTGTGAGTCTGACTTCTAGAGAGAACATAGCAGGGTCTTTCCTCAAAATTTTACCTGCTTGATTTTACTCATTACTACTATCAGGGATCTTAGTGGACTTGTGTGATAATGATTCAGGAAGATAATTTGCAAACCCTAAGACATTACTTTTAAGACAAAATTCTTGACACTAAGGGTTCTCTGAAATAAGGGGTTCAGTGAGCTGTTACAAATGCTAGTCAGAAAAGGACCCACCCAGTCCTGGAACAATTCTGCAACTATCAGCAGTTGGAAATATGTCTATTGGAGCTAAGAGTCAAGAGCATTTTTATAACAAATGTGGGGAGAGTATAAACTGTGTTCACTGAACCTACATTGGCTGTAAATAAGAGGGGCAGAATTTGGGGAGGGGACGACAGTCCATAAGAAGTACTTATTACTTCTGGACTGGTTGGGGTTAGTAATCCAGATGTTCCTATGTAAGAATGGGTAGTGGCACCTGGAATCAGCTGCCTAAGGTCTAAGTTATGGTTATATTATACATTAAAAGAGGAAACAGTTTTTGCTGTTGATGATGATGATCTTGGCCCATAGCTTTAACTGATTAATTTACCTTATTTTCCTGCGCCCATTCTCTGGCCCTTATGATTAAATTTAAGACATCAGAGAATGAATTAATCTTTCTTTCTTTCTTTCTTTCTTTCTTTCTTTCTTTCTTTCTTTCTTTCTTTCTTTCTTTCTTTCTCTCTCTCTCTCTCTCCCCCTCCCTCCCTCCCTCCCTCTCTTTTTCTCTTTCTTTCTTATTTTACTACTTCAGGGATTGATGTAGCCCGAGAATTTTTGTTTTGTTTTATTTCCATTTGGGGCCTTGCTATGTTACTCAGGCTGGCTCAGAATTCCTGGGCTCAAGTGATCCTCTTGCCTCAGCCTCCCAAGTAGCTGGG